GGGGGGGGGGGAAGGGGGCAGCTGCAGCTGGACCTACATCCTGCTGAGTGAAGCGGGCAGGAGGAGCTCTGATTTTCCATGATAAAAAAACAAACCAAACAACAAAATCAAACACCAAAATGTATAGGTACTTAGAATTTATTTTATTACTAGCTGAAACCTGCAAAACATTTGCAATTAAACTTTTAATGCAAAAGTAATTCTTTAAATACAGGATTTTTAGTTATCCTTTGACTGAATACTTTAAGGAAATCAAAACTTCTCTCCCTTGAAAAGGTTACATAAATCTGTCCGTGTGTAAACACAGGCTTAGGTGTATAAATACTTATTTTGGCAAAAGTCTGAACCTGTGACTTGTTTATAGTCATAGAATAAGATGGCCGTTGTACATGCGACTAAGAGCCCTTGTACGTGTGAAGAAATTGTCCCTTTTAGTGGCTTAATTGCCCTTTTTAACAATTTAATTGTGTAACCGTGTACACGTTCAGCAGCATGTTACGATTAAAGTTCATAACTTTATTATGAACTTATTGCTCACACGTACGAGGGCCCTATCCAGAGAAGGCAGCGGGGACAGTGCACAGGGCGCTGGAAGCATGGGCGTGCTCAGGGAAGTTTGGGCTTGGCAGGCTCCAGTGCCCCGTGCACTGTCCTCGCTGCCTTCTGCGGCTGCCAGCACACCCAGCTGCCCTGCTGCCGCTTCCCAAGGCAGCCAGCCCATTCCTCGGCAGTCCCAGTTGTTGGGAAGGTGGCGGGGACAGTGCATGGGGCACTGGAAGTGCGCCAAGCCTGAGCTTCCCCGAGCATGCCTGGGCTTCCAGCGCCCCGTGCACTGTTGCATCTGGCGGGTGCTGCCTGCAAGCTGGGGCTGCGCCCTGCCGGGGCACCACTGCCATAGAGGGAAGCACAAGGCCCCCCTGCAGCTCAGGGGCTGCATGACCAGATGGCAGCTCATGCAGGCAGACTCTGCTAAGGGTGGGGGGAGCAGCAAGGGGCCTGATCTTCAGTTTTTTTATTTGTTTGTTTCTCCCACAGCCTGCCTGCATCTCTCGCAGCTGGGGAGCAAGCTGCCGGCGGGTCGTGCACCCCTGAGCTGCAGGAGACCCCAGTGTTTCCATCCGCAGAGGTGGCACTGCCTGGGCAGCACCCATCCCCTGGCACCCTGCCTGGGGCCGCTGCAGGGAGAAGAACCGGGACCCCCGCAGTTCAGAGCCTGCTGGCAGCTCACCCCCCAGCCATGGGAGAGGCAGGCAGGTTTGGAAAGGGTGGGGAAAGATTGAGGCCATCACCGCTTTTTAATTTTTTTCCCTTCTGGGGAGCCTGCCCACCCCGAGGTGGGGTGGGGAGGGGGCAGTGCTTCATTCTAGCTCTGGCTTGCCTGCATATCTGTTTGAAAGACCTCTGGATCTATAATAATAACATGTTTATTCCGTCTGTCCAGAGCACTCTGATCGGTTGTTTCAATAAGCATTGTGATTCGCGGCTGAGACAACTGATCAGAGTGCTCCAGACAGACAGAATAAGCCTATTATTATTATTATAGATAATGACTGAGGCCCTGGTCAGCTTCCAAATTTCTTTAAAAATTATAAATAGATCAATCAAACATCATGTTCAACTGATACATCTCTCTCTCTCTCTCTCTCTCTCTCTCTCTCTCTCTCTCTCTCTCT